CAGTACCCCCAGGCTCAGCACCCCCAGGCTCAGCACCCCCAGGCTCAGCACCCCCAGACTCCGCACCCCCAGGCTCAGCACCCCCAGGCACAGCACCCCTAGGCTCAGCACCCACAGCAGCACCAGAGTCACTTGTGACCTCGACAGGCTCGACCGCGTCTACCTGAGACACACCTGAAGGGGCAGGACCCTGAGGGGGAAGGGGGTCTACCGGGGGGGGACCTGGTACCAAGAAGAGCGGGGGTGGGGGGAGGGACGGAGTGCGGTAGGGGAAGAGGCGGTAGTAGGGTACCGACTCGTCGAACGTGACGTCCTGGGAGGACAGAACACGTCGAGAGGTGGGGTGGTAGAACTGCCACCCAGGGGCGTCGGGGGGAAACCCAGGAAGACGCAGGGAGCAGCGCGAGGGGACACCTTGTCCGCAGACAAGTCGCGGACAAACGCCCGAGATCCCCAGACCCGGAACGCCGACGCATCGCCAACCTTCCCCGTCCATAGCAGGGCTGGGGAGGTCTCCGGCCTGGAGACCCTGGGGTGGAGGTTGATCTGATGCGCCGCGTACCTGACCGCAAACGGCCACAGAAAATGGGGGGCAGCCGCATGCATCATAGACGTACGAGCGACGTCCATGACCATGCCAATGCGGCGCTCTGCAATCCTATTTTGCTGCGGTGAGTCCGGAAGCGTGAAGGTCTGACGAATGCCTCGCGCACGACAGTAGGCACGCAAAAGGCCAGAGGAGAACTCTCCGCCTCTGTCCGAGTGCAGACGCAACACAGGAAAGTCCAAGCCAAAGCTCTGCCTAAGCTGGAGACGAGCTGCGCGGATCCAGTCGATCAGCACCTCAGTGACATCACCCTTGCTGCGCAAGGGGAAGACTGTGGTGTAACGCGAGTAGTCGTCAACCACCAACAGGAAGTAGCGCTCGTGACCGAGTCCACGGACGCGGGCAGGGCCCCACACGTCCATGTGAAGCGTCTGCAACGGAGCCTCTGTCGGAGGAAACTGGGAGGAGTGAGGGGCAGCACGCTGGCGCCCCTCGACACAGGGGACACAGGCAGGGCTAGGGCCCTGAGGAAGGGGAGGGAGTGACCGGGGGAGACCAGACACAAGAAGACGGGAGGCCATGCCTCTGAGCCGAAGCAGAGAGGGGTGGCCAAGGCGGTGGTGTCAGAGGAGGGTCTCGTGAGACAGACGGCGACACGAACAGGGGGCAGACTCAGGACCAGACCTGGACGCTGCAGCGAACACCTGACCAGACGAAGGGACTGTACCGGACACAGCACCCGGAGGAGAAGCAGTGGTCAGTGTGTACAGGCTCGACCCTGGCCGACGTGTAAACGTAGCCAGGTGGCGGCCGGTGCTAGCCTCTGTGCAGTGCGTCACCCGCTGACGAGCAGGAGTGAACTGGTGGACACCCGCATCCTGAAGGTCAGCACCACTCACCAAGTTCGTGGAGAACGAGGGGAGGTAGAGACCAGTCAGGGTGCCAGAGGGAGCCGACGGACACGGGAGGACAGTGGAGAAACGAGACAGGACAGGACCCCCAGAGGGGTCAGCCAGGGACACCGCAACCGGCCGACTAAGCGGCGTGAGTGTGGTGCGGTCCCGAAAGAAGGAGCGAGACGCCCCAGAGTCAAGGGTGAAGGTGTGGGAGGCCGAAGCCGACACAGTACCTGAGAGCGCAGACTCACTAGTACCTGAGAGCGCAGACGTACTAGCACCTTAGAGCACAGACGCACTGGCACCGAGAGCAGTAGCCTCACGAGCACCTAGAGCAGCAGTACCAATGCCCGGATCGGGCGGGAAACACCGGTAACAGTCACCCTCATCACTAACAGTCACAGCATACATGGCAGCAAGGATAGCATCAAAGTCAAGATCAAAGATAGCTACACCAGCCCTAGACAGCTCTCCCCAGCGGGGGATCTCATAGGCCTCCAGGAACTGCTGACGCCAAGCGTCCGTCAGGCGGCCAAAGCAGCGCTGAGCGGTGTGGGCACCCCCACACTGCTCACCCACGCGGTCGCCGGTGCGGAGGACGCAGGTGCAGGGACCAAAAACCCACCACGATGACGCTGCGTGTACCACTCACGGAGCTGCTGAGGGGGTGGGGACGTCACGAGAACGCTGCTGCTGCTGCTGCGGCTGCTGTTGCTGCTGGCGCTGACTGCCCCCAGTGCCGCTCCGCTGCGACGAGCCACTCCGACCACCCCCACCACCGCCACCCCCGCCCCCGCCCCCACCGCCGCCACCTCCGCCACCGCCGCTCCCACCGCCACCGCCGCCGCCACCTCCGCCTCCACTGCCGCCACTAGTACCCCCACCCCCGCTACCACCTCCACCGCCACCCCCACTCCCCCCGCCGCCCCCACCTCCTCCGCCACCGCCCCCGCTAGCTCCACCCGCTCCCTTGCCCCCCTTGCCCTTGCCAGAGCGGCGCCTACCGCTGGGGGCAGACGCCGCACCGACCGACTCTAGCCCAACGAGGTCGGCCACAGCAGCAGAGGCGACAGAGGGTAACAGGGGGGAAGGAGAACACCCCTCAAAGATGGGGGTGCGAGGGTCACCACGAGAAGCCCCTACAGCGACTATGCTCTTCTCTGCCGCTAGCAAGGACTTCTCGAGGAGGTCGACAGTGAGGGTGGTGGGACAGACCGAGAGAAACTGGTCCCTAACGACACGAAGGGACTCAGGGAGACGGGTGACTAGAAAGTAGAGGGTGATGTACATGGGAGGGGGGTTCGTGGCGCAGAAGTCAGCAGGAAGCGCAGCGCGGTAGCGAGTGTCACTAGCGCGGAGGTGTGTAATGAGGTCAGCGACAGTGGGAAAGGCAGCAAGGTCAGGGAAGAGGTAGGGTAGCATGAGGCAGCTCAGTGCAGCAGAGGAGGGGGAGGAGTAGCGCGCAACTACAGCGTTGTACAAGGTCTGTGCAGTCTTGTACTGACTAAAGTGGGCACGCTCAGAGGTAGGGAGGTGGCGACGCACAGCAAGACGTGCAGCAGCATCGCGTGTGGCCCACTTTGAGCGAACAGTGGGGTCAGCATCAGCAGCAGGGGCAGGGACAGTGCCAGAGACAAAGTCAAAGAGAGAAATGTCATCTACCGAATCGCATTGCAAGTACAGCTGCAGGTCGTCGACCCAGACCTCAAAGTCAATGGCGCGACCCTCAGCGTCAAAAGCCAGGACACTAGGGGTGGCCATGACAGCAGGCGACAGTCTCACCAGACAGGACGGGTCGGGTAGCTCAGCAGCACAGCAACACGGCAACACAGCAACTCTGCCGGCCCAGTAGCAACAGCAGCCCCACAGGACCAGTAGCTCGGCTCCTCAGGCAACCCGGGCGGCTCGAGCGGCTCGGGCGGGTCGGGCAACTCGGGCGGCTCGGGCGGCTCGGGCGGCTCGGACGGCACAGGCGGCTCGGGCGGCTCGGCTCCTCAGCTGCGTAGGCGGCTCGGGCGGCTCGGGCGACGCGGGTGGCACGGGCGGCTCGGGCGTTGGGAGGGACGGCTCACGGGCGGCTCACGGGCGGCTCACGGGCGGCTCACAGGCGGCTCACGGGCGGCTCACGGGCGGCACACGGGCGGCCCACGGGTGGCGGACGGGCGGCTCACGGGCTGCTCGGGTGTTAGGACGGGCGGCTCACGGGCGGCTCACGGGCGGCTCACGGGTGGCTCACGGGCGGCGCTTCGGGCGGCGAAGGGCGGCGCACGGGCGGCGTGGTGCCTGACGGGCGGTACGTGGGCGGCCTGGGGGCCTGGCGGGTGGCGCGCGGGCGGCTAAGGGCGGCGCGCGGGCAGTGCGTGGGCGGCCTGGGGCCAGGTGGGCGGCGCACGGGCTGAGCGTGGGCGGCTAGGGGCCTGGCGAGCGGCGCGTGGGCGGCCTGGAGCTTGGCGGGCAGCGCGCGGGCTGCTAATGGCGGCGCTCGGGCTGCACGGGGCCAGGACGGGCGGCTCGCGGGCTGCTAAGGGCGGCGCGCGGGCTGCACGGGGCCGGAACGGGCGGCGCGCGGGCTGCTAAGGGCGGCGCGCGGGCTGCACGGGGCCGGAACGGGCGGCGTGCGGGCTGCTAAGGGCGGCGCGCGGGCTGCACGGGGCCGGAACGGGCGGCGCGCGGGCTGCTAAGGGCGGCGCGCGGGCTGCACGGGGCCTGGCGGGCGGCGCGCGGGCTGCTAAGGGCGGCGCGCGGGCTGCACGGGGCCTGGACGGACGGCGCGCGGGCTGCTAAGGGCGGCGCGCGGGCGGCTAAAGGCCTGAACGGGCGGCGCGCGGGCGGCTAAGGGCCGGTCGACAGAGGTAAGAGAGAGCCCGGAGCGCGCTCCGGGCAGAAAAAAAAAAAGGTTCTAGGTAGTGGTGGGCCCTAAGCACAGTTCCCACAGGGGAACCTGCTCGATACCATGAGAAGAATAGAACGAGAATGGAATGAACTATGAACGAGGTGAGTACAAATAGGAAACCCTAATTGGGTTGTACCCCCTATGGGATACCCCACTATAGCCTACACAAATAAGTAAGCTATAATGTTCTGACACTTCTCTTGCGCAAGAAGTTTTCGTGTGAGTGACAGCTTTGCCACCCTGCTGTCGAGCTGCTGTTCTCGACAATCTTACTCTTCTTTCCGCTGCGTCGCAGGTGGATGAAGAAGCAGCTTCGCGCCGAGTACGCGATGACCCACCAGGCTCTGACCGAGGGCGACCAAGAAGTGTTGAACGTGATGGACCTTCGTCTGGAGTTGAACGAGGATTTCGACCATCTGGTATGCTCTCCTTAGACCACCAGCGTTTTCGTCGAGCATGTGTTTTGTTGCTTACGTATGTTTTGTACCCGTCGTAGGCGACGACGGCCTTGTCGAGCCCCTATGAAAACGGCGCGGCAGCTCGTGTCGTGCATGGGGTGCGCCGTATTCCGACGAAATGGGACGACTTCATCCTACAGCCTCGAAAGGGCGAACTCGTGCATCTAGGGAGAACGAACCCTGGCCCGGGTGTGCTTCCGTTGTTCATGGTCAAGCTGTTTTCGAGAAAGATCGACCAACTGGCGGAGGGAGCAGGTGTGGGAGGGGGTGCCGACCACGAGGGAGGAGGCGAGAAGACGGGACGCGTCCTGATTGAGTACAGCGTCGAGGAGGAGGAGGAGATCGAGGAGGATACATCGAGGCAGGCTCAGCACGGGGCGAGCGGCCCGGGTGGCGATGCGAACCAGGACGAGGACTCGAGCTCGGGAACGAGCTCCGCCTCGAGCTCGAGCGATGAGTCGGCCGAGGACGACGGCGAGGGCGCCGGACATAGAACGGAGCGTACGGGGGAGCACGGAGTGGCGCTCGGGGAGCGGGTGGACGAGCGAGTAGAGCTTATCGAGCAGCAGGCGACAGGGGTAACTAAGGCTGTCGAGGAGCAGGAGGGCGGAGCAGCTGCTCGGGAGGGTGGGGTCGGAGGGCAGCGGCAGGTGGTGGGCGAGGCGGCTGCGCAGGAGGGCGGGGCAGGAGGGCAGCAGCAGGAGGGCGTGGCGGCTGCGCAGGAGGGTGGGGCAGGAGTGCAGCAGCAGGCGTTTAGGGTTGCGGCTGCGCGGGTGGGTGGGTCGGGAGGGCAGGAGCAGGAGGACTGGGAGGCTGCTGAAGAGTATCGTCGAGGAGATGAGCGACAGGCCATCGTAACAAGGAGCCACCGCACGGCCAGTGGTAGCGGACAGGCGGGCCCTTCGACCTGGTGGCCTTCGACGGCAGGCCAATCGACGGCGAACGTTGCACCGGGAGGCCAGGTCGTCGAGCTACTGCAGAGGGTCGAGAAGGTCGAGGCGTCGCAGAAGCAGCTCGTCGCCGATGTCTTTGCGAAACACACTGAGCAAGCCGGAGTATTCAACAGGCTTGCTGCGGATTTTCGGACGGCGTGGAATACGATTTCGGAGTCGTCGAAGAGCACACTGTCGCAGTGCGCCGAGGCTGTGAAGGGTGTCATGGCAAAAAGGAACCTGTTGAAAGGGGCGCGGGCGAAGATCGACGAGATGAGCGGGAAGATCATCGAGGGGGTGGCAGCCGCCATCACAAAAGTGAGCGAAGACGCCGTCGAGAAGCAGCTCAAGCAGGTCGAGGAGCGGCTGGTTGCTGCGGTGCTGAAGGGTTTCGAGAAAGCCATCATGGAGGACATGTTCTGCTCCACCCTCCCACACGAGACCATGAAGGAGCTGAAGGACATTGTGAGGGAAGGCTACCATGAAGCCGAAGCAGGGAGGTTGGAAGTCCTCACCGAAGCGATGGCGAGAGGTTTTCAGCGCTCGGCGGGCCCGTCGACGAGGTCGCGTCAGGAGGGTGTGGGAGGGGTTCGCAGCGGGGCTGAGCCTCGTGGTCACGAGCGGTCGGTTCCTTCGTCTTCTTCGGTGGGAGGACATGTCGGCAGCCCGGTTGGATCCCCACCGGCGCGTGGCCGTCATCCCGTCGCCATGCATGTCGAGGAAGTCATCGTACTCGACCAGTCGCCCCGCCCGAAGACCTCCGTAGCGGCTCCGATCGATCCACCTGATGCGTTTGCTTCAATGCGGGACATGCTGCAAGGCCTGGGGAAAACGGGTGGGAAAGGAGTGGTCGCGGGGGAGAAAAGTGGTGCCCCGAACGAGCATGTCGCCTCGACCGGGAACAGAGCTCTAGGAATGCGAGGTGTCTCTACCCCGTCAGGCGGTGGTGCGGGGAAAGGAGCGGGAGAAGCAAGAGCTGGGTTGCTGTCGAAGACTAAAGCGGCATCAGCTGCGCAAGGCGGTGGTGCTGGCCTTGCTATCGGGCTTGTGGGAAATTGGACGTCTTCCTCGACCCCTCCAGTTGCGCCTGTCGCCGCTGCTCCGTCCCTAGGCAACGTTTGTCTTAGCGATCCGGGCTCCCCTTCAACGTCGAAGAAGAAGCCGGCTGCGACGAAGTCGTCGAAGCGCGCTGCACACGCGACAAAGAGCCCTGGCGTGGTGGAGCTGGCCAGCGTCCCTGGTCAGGCGACTGTCGAGAAGACCTCTATTGTCGTTCCTGCTCGACAGGAAAAGGCGAAGAAGGCCAGGGTCACGGGTCACACCCCACCTCCTCGACCGGACGACCAAGGCAAGACGAGAGGCTGCAAACGTCCGTTCAAAGGACCGGGTTTCGGGTTGCGGAAAGGGAAGCCGGTTTCCGAGCAGACCGTCGGCGGGAGGAAGCGGTTCCTTGGCACTTTTGAAACAGAGAAAGACCAGAAGTTCTGTACGGCCGTCTGCTGGCGCGTGTACTTCCCCGACGTTGTCCTTACGGAGTACGAATGGTACACGGCGCAGGATGAGGAGGACTGGAAGGTCTACCTCGATGCGGCCGCAGAAATGCCAACCGGCGTTTGGAGCGTGGCGCAAGAACAAGGGGAATGTCGTTTCGACGAGTAAGTTCTGTCGAAGTCATGTTGCTAGACTCTGCTGTCGAGTTTCTGCTGTTTTGGTGAATTGTCGAACACCATCTGTTTTGCGGTGAATGTGCTGTCGGTCGAATTCTGGCCTCTTGACTCACGCATTTCTTGCGATGTGCAGTTACCTGTCGCTCTTGGCGACGGCAAAAAAGGAAGTGAAAGCTGGAACCGAGAGGGGAATCGCGCTGTGCGTGGCGATTGGTAAGGTCGCGACGCTTGGCCTGAAGCACGGGAATCTGATTTACCCGGTCCCGAAGGGCATGGCGGCGACACCGCACATGATGGCCATCGCAGCAACTGTGGCGAGCTTGTGGGCGGCCAGCAGGAAGTTGTCGAGGGAGGATATTAAGAAGGATGCCCTAGCTGCCGCAAACGCGGCGATCTACGCCCCGGAGACTGCAAAGAAGGCTTGTGTGGCTGCCATGTCCGCACTCGTGTCCATACTTTTGCACGTCGGCAAGACGTTCCCGGCGAAGCAGTGGCCCGATCACCTGTATTCGTCGGCTGTCGAAGGTCTCGGCTCGACGGACGCCATACTGCTGCAGATGCTGCGCGTGGCAGCACAGGTCTGTACGCAATGGTGCTGCTGTCGAGCTGCTGCCCGCTTGCTGGAGGACGCGGGCTATGGCAGCCTGGCTATGCCAGAAGAAAAGAGCAAGGCGAAGCAGGGCGACGAGGATGGCAAGGGGAGTAGTCTAGGCGGGCACTTTGCGTGGGGGTGTTTGCTATTCTCGACAGTTGTGCTTGTTGTTTCCAAAGTTTAATCGACAGAATTTACATGCTGCATGGATCTTGACTTTCCGTTTGCGATAATGCTCAGAAGGTTCATACAGGCGAGATGGTCGGTCAGTAATGAGAACCTGCCATGCAATCTCTAAAAGAACACCCTACTCTAGTTTCGCCCCTCGTCATGATTGCCTGTCGAACTTGGGCTCTCGCCCCATGTTTTCATAAACTCTTTCCATTTGTCTTTGAACACGTTCTCGGCCCATTTCGTGGTTCGAAGCTCGACGCGAATGAGCTCCCGCGTGATCCTGAGGCGATCTTTGTCCTTCCGGTTGTCTTCTGCTGTCTCGATTTTGCGCTTCTTCGTGAGCTGCTTCCCCGAATCCTCTTTGAGAACGAGCCCTTCAGCCAGCATGTTGATCGAGTGGTTCGTGACTATTGAGTCAAGCTTATCAATGATCGTCAACGTAGCCGCCCTGCTATCATCGACCCTGAACATCTCGACGGCCCTCATGACAACCTCCATCTTCCGCAATCTCGACTCGACAGCTTTTGGGGTCGGTGGCTTTTCTTTTGGCTGGTCCACCGCACCGGGGGGAACGGTGGGAGGAGTCGGAGTGAACTTGCTGAACTTGACGGCGAAACCCCTCCTGTAAGCGTGTCGAAGACTGTGTCCGTTATTCAGCGGGCTGGGCCCGTCCCAGTACAACCACGCCTGCCGCACGGTCTCGCAAGTGCACCACGGCCACACCACTGCGTCGAAGAATGTTTGGTCGAGCTGGCTGCCCTTGCTCTGTTGAGTGGGCGTTGATTGAGGGGGCTGCTGTGGTGGCGGGGTGGTTTCTTCGGTCGGCGTCTGCGGCACACTCTCGCTCCCCCCTACATTCGCAGCTGCGGTTGTCGCGGCGGTAATCTTCAGTGCGTCGAACACTTTCTGCAGTAGCGCGAGTGCTTCTGCCTTCGCCTCCAACTCCGCTTGCATCGCGCCCTTCTCCCGCTCCAATGACTCGACCTTCTGCTCGAGGCCCTTGATCTTGATTTCTTTTTTCCCACCCTCCTCCTTGTGTAAGTTTACCTCTGCCCGAAGTTGCGTGATGAGGTGCTTGGTGTTGAGTTGAAAGGATGCGTCCTGCGCATAAGATCACGAGCGGTAGGTAAGTGGGCTGATGCAATCTGTTCGGATTAAAATTTATAAGGGCCATCTTACCGAGGCTCTCGACAGCGTGGGGTTGGTCCGCATCTCGATGCCGTACTTGTCGAGCATGTACACGTCAAGCGCCCATTTTTGGAAATCCATATCCTTGCACAAACCGGACATCTGTGCATATGGGTGACGCTTGCAATCGCAAACAGTCACTCCGTCGAAGGGGTGGTCGTCACAATGGACGTAGTACATCGCAAGATCCTCGGCGATGGGCATTCGGGCGGCTTGCAGGGCCTTCAAGAAACTTTTCGCTGCGAAGAACATATGCTCCTTGTCCTGCTCGTTGTTCCATTCCATCGCCTGAACAAGAACAAACTTGGTGACATTGAGAGATAGATCGAATGCAAAAACTTGCATTCGATGATCACGCTACGCGCTCGACGCATCCATACCTCGTCGAGCCACTGCTCCGCCTTTGGAAATACGTGCTCCTCGATAGCCTTCAGGACCTTCGCGGGTACTTCGGTCTTCGATCTTCCAAGGTAATAGTCACCGGGTTCCGTCGTGAAACCCGCTTGCAGCTGGATGGCCCCTCGCGGGATGCCTGTGACGTATGACCTGCGCATCTCGTTCATGTCCCATTGACCCAGCTGCGCGATGTTGTCGAGTTCACAGTTTTTGTCGGCGAGGATCTGTGCCGCAGACCGTCGAAAGATATGTGTGACTTTCGACAGAATCCACTCCGCGCTTTTCATCGCCCAGGTAACCCATTTGGCATGAGTCGCGTACGGCAACTCGCTCTTGTCCTTGTCGAAGAGGGCGAAGAACAGGTGCTTCTTTGACCAGTTTTCCGGGTTGCTGAAATCCAAGGGGGGCACGATCTTATCGTTGTTGTAGTGGAGCGGCACAAGGTCGAAAATGAAATGTATCCACATGAACACTGCTCCGAAGCCGCACTGCCGGAAGTCCATGTGTCGAGTCAGGTACAGGTGGCCGAGCTTGTTGTCTTTGATGGACTTCGAGTTGCGATAGGCGACCACGAGAACGTGGATCGACGATTCCCCCTTGCTGTTCGTGATGGGCGGAAGGACGTGAGTGAACATATTGCAGTAGCGGATCTCGCGGATGCTTATCCCCCTGCCCAGCATGTGATGCGCCATCAGGATCATCACCCTCACGGCCAAGGCCCTCCACAGCGACTGACTGGGGTAACTCATCGACTCCCGAAAGTACTCCTTGGCCCAGTACGGCAGGATGTCTGAAACGAGAATGCGGAACTGCTCCTCCGTGTAAACATCGTCGAGCGAGCCCCGGTGTGGATCGACGCACTGCCTGCATTGGGTGGGCAGATACAGCGAGTACTTGGGTGAGAATTAGAGCGGTGAGTTTTAGAGTCCAGTGTATGGGAGCCTACTTACTCGAACTGAAAGTCGTGCAGCTGCCGCAGCTTGACCGCAAGAAGCTGCCGAGCCTCGGTGATGTCGTCCAAAGGTTTCGTTAGTGGCTCGTCGAAGAGTATGGCCTCTACTCTGCAGAAGCACGTCAGCGCAGTAAGGCGCGCCAGCATCATCGGAGGGGTGCTTTTTTTCGCCTTCCTTCCAGCGACTCTGGACCGGCCTGTGTCCAACGATGCCGCCTGTTGGTCGGTTTCAGTCGACATGTATTCGACGTACGCGCGCAAGCGCCATTTCGTTATTTTCGGCCCATGCAGGTGCTCCTCGTTACGCAGCGCCTCCCTCCATCTCGGCCCCATATCGTCGCCGATCTCCCTACCGATCTCGTCCTCGTAGATCACCTGCTCCTCTTTAGGCACTCCGTTGCTTCTCTCGGGTGCCAGAATTTTACAGGCCCAAGCTTTGTAGTGCATGCTTCCAGAGACATAGTTCGGCCGTGTGGAATCCTGGTCAACTCCCAGCAGCGGAACCTCACACCAGAGAATCCTGCTTTTAAGTGTTCCGGTCGCCAAGTACGGATTGTCTGCGCCCGGTTGGTCGCCGAGAATGTGCGCGGCATCCTCCTCTGATATATTTGCCGCAGCAGGCCGCAGAGGGTCCGGCTGTTCGACATCGTCCGCCTCCTGCTGTTCTCCCGTCCGAACATCCTCATCGTCCGTCGCTTCAGGGACGTTCCTGGCCAAGTCCTCTCTGCTTGGTCTCGTCGAAGTGCGCCTAGGAGCGGCGGGGGCGGCTCGAGAAGCGGATGTGCGGGCTGGGGGTGGTTGGCGAACCTCAGGCGGAACAGCCCTCGCTCTCCTACGTTGCCCACCTGTCGAGGCCGGTGCACCAGACGAAGGTTCCGTCGAGCGGTGGGCTGTCGACGATGGTGCACGGTGAGCTGGAGCCTCGTGTGTAAAGGGGGCATTTGTTGTCGAGATGGGTTCTACGACAACAGGTATGGATTGACCTGTCGAAGGGAATTCGGTCTGTGCACCACCCACTTCAACAGTGACCGGAATACCCGTCGAACGCTGGTCCGTAACAACCGGCTGTATTACTACCGGTATGGCTCGCGACGTCGAGGTGGGCGCTGCCACCTCAGGTATGGCACGCGTCGTCGAAGGGGGCCTGTCTCTAGACGACGAAGGGGGTGGTGTCGATGTGGACTCTAATTCGACAGGTATACGTCCTACGTCCGCCTCCCGGGAAGGCGCTGTCGTCGACGGATCGGTCTCCATCAGGGCCCACCGAAAGCTACCAGTTCTCCCTAAATCCTGGCGTGCTGAGGAAACAGTGGTGCTTATACTATGAATTCAGGTCTATACATTGACATTGGGCTGATGTTGCTCCCCGTGGAGACTGAGACAGCAGTCAGCAGTTGACGTGACCGCTTGACTGCGACTGACGTGACCCGTCGCCCATCCGACAGCGACAGTTCGCTCGACCGACGAGGCGACAGGTCGGCCGCAGTTGACGTCTCCGTCGATTGCGACCGTCGGCCGGTTGTGAAACACGTTTCGAAACCGTCGACCGTCGGCGCCACCGTGTAGGCGATTCCCTGGCAACTTGCCACCGGGTGTAACCAGTGTTGTCGGGGGTGCACGGTGCTCGACGGCGATTGGCCAATGTCCGTCGAGCATGTGGAGAAAAACTCTACAACGGTAGTGAGCTAGACTACAGGGGTTGGCACGAACTACTAGAGGTGATCTTAGCTTTGCTTAGTTCCTTAGTGTTCGCACATTCACGGAAGAATTTGGCAAGAGTTTCCACTAGCAAAGTTGGAATTCCAGAATGATCCAAGAAGCAATGACAACAATGACTACATCAGGCATCTAGCAACCCTGCAGCTAGCCTGGTCGACCGCCTGCCAGCATTGCGTAGAGGAGCCGCGCCAGCATTGCAGAAGGGCGACCTGCCAACAAAGCAGGTCGACGGCGTGCCCCGTAGAACACAGCAGTGCGCGCGCTCGCAGGTGTGCGCAGACGATTGGCCTGACTTGCCTCGTTGGGCATCCGCCGGCTGCTGTCTGCGCCTGACGAGCCACATCGACTTCGGGATACCAGCCCGAAGTCGCCTGCGCCATCGCGATCTTGACGACGTTCGCGTGCCTCCGCAGAACTCGTCGAGCAGGTTACCCGGTCGACCTGGTCGACCCCTGGTGCTCTGGTCGACTCCCAGGTGCCTCCCGTCGACCACTGGGTCCCTCTGGTCGACCACCGGGCGCTCCTGGTCGACCACACCTCCCGTCAAGCTACCCCTTGGTCGAAGGACCCCTTCCGTCGACCAGAACTGCTCCGTCGACCTCCCGGTCGAACTGCAGTTCGACGGGATGCTCCGTTGACCTCCCGGTCGAGCTGCAGATCGACGGGATGCTCCATAGACCTCCCCGTCGAACTGAAGGTCGTCAGACTGCTTCGTCGACCTCCCGGACGGCTCACCCGTCGCCCAGGCCAGTCAG